AAACAAAACAAACAAACCCTCTAATCTATCATTTCAAAATTAGGCAAGCGCAGATTCAACAAACACACAAAAGCCAACGAGGCCCTTTGCTCAATGCCAAGGCTCACCAGGCCGGGTGGGATACGATAGACATAGTAGTATAACTATTCTTATGACTGTATGATAAAGAAATGAGGAAAATTACAATAAACTTTATTTTTCTGAATTGTTCTTGTTTAGCTTTTATACCTAAAAGGAAAGCGACGAACTTGTGAAAAATATTTTATAATTTATTTAAAGATCCCTTAAATGGAATTTAATATGTGTTTGTATAACAGAGGGCGCTTCAAGAGAAGTACAGTGTATCAAAAAACTATGTAGGTAACGTAAAGCAGGTTTTTATCAACAGATACCTCTTCTGTTCAACACGTCTCACTATGTTTTAACGATTTCTATACTTTAATGTGCATTTTACATATATATTTATTTTTTAGAGCTTTTAAGTAGGATAAGTGTGAATTGTACTGAAATTTGTAGCTTTATGCAACAATTAATTCTGAAGAATAACCAAGAAAGTTATGAGTACGTTAAATAAACATTCTTAAGAACTATAAATACTTTCTCTTTTCTTATTTCAAGAGTTCCCTGAAGTGAATTAACTTGTTTCAAAACTAAACAAAAAACAAAAAAAAACGTGTTCGTTTAATATACATATAGTGAGAGAAAGTGACTTACGTTGGATTAAGTGTTTGTTGCAAACACACCATTCGCGTTCTTTATGGGAAACAACAACAAGTAGAGTTTGACCAATAATTGTTATTTCTAGTAGGAAATGTAATATAAATAGTTAATTTCCTAAATCTAGCTCTACTTATACTGGACTATATATATATACAATACAAACGATATCTGATAACGGAGTCAGGAATGATTGTTGTTGTTTATTTTTATCAGAAACACCTGACTGATTGAAATTAACCTTCCGATATTTGTTATGCGTTAAATAGAAGCGTACGAAGTTCACTTAATGCCCACAACTAGGAAGTAAATTGTGCTCATTCGATTTGTAGCAACAGCACATCTTGTCTTATTAATGTCTGCTTTGAATCTATATTAAATATTAAATATTTCATTTTGACAAAATGAAAACGAGTGTATTTAGTTTACTGGGTTATCTGTGAACTATTAAAGGAAACTTTTTACCAAGAAAAATGTCCCACCAAAAATGTTCGCCCTTTGAGGCGTATGGGCGTTATAATTTGACGGTCAATCCCACTATTCGTTGGTAAAAAAGTAGCCTAAGAGATGGCGGTGGGTGGTGATGACTAGCTGTCTTTCCTCTAGTCTTTCACTGCTAAATTAGAGACAGCTAGCGCAGATAGCCCTCGTGTAGCTTTGCGCGAAATTCACAACAAAACAAACGTAACGTTAGAAAACGCTAAAAGCAAAATATATAGAAGCTAGCGAATTACTGCTAGTTCACCAAACTTCCAGCCTGGCATGGCCAGTGGCCAGTTGGTCAGGGCGCTCGACTTGCAATCTGAGGGTCGCGGATTCCACCAAACATGCTCGCCCTTTCAGCCGTGAGGGCACTATATTTTTACGGTCAATCCCACTATTCGTTGGTAAAAGAGTAGCCCAAAAGTTGGCGGTATGTGGTGATGACTAGCTGCCTTCCATCTAAACGTTCACTGCTAAAATCTTAGGAACGGCTAGCGCAGATAGCCCTCGTGTAGCTTTGAGCAAAATTCAAAACAAACAAAACTTACCAAGGAAAAATAAGGAGGAGGAATAAAAAAATTAAAGCAAGGTAGTGAGATACGCTGTGTTCGTTTAATAACTTAAGTACCTGGAGAAACAATCGATTAATGTAATTAAAGCAAGGTAATCAGATACGCTGTGTTCGTTTAATAACTTAAGTACCTGGAGAAACAATCGATTAATGTAATTAAAGCGAGGTAGTCAGATACGCTGTGTTCGTTTAATAACTTAAGTACCTGGAGAAACAATCGATTAATGTAATTAAAGCAAGGTAGTCAGATACGCTGTGTTCGTTTAATAACTTAAGTACCTGGAGAAACAATCGATTAATGTAATTAAAGCAAGGTAATCAGATACGCTGTGTTCGTTTAATAACTTAAGTACCTGGAGAAACAATCGATTAATGTAATTAAAGCAAGGTAGTCAGATACGCTGTGTTCGTTTAACAACTTAAGTACCTGGAGAAACAATCGATTAATGTCGCCGAGTTTTAATGGGACAGTTCATTGTACCAGAAATGTAATTTACCCACATATGTGAAATGGAAGCATAAAAAAATCAACAATATGATCGGATAACATTTGTGACGTATGAAATACGTCACTAAAAACCAAAACGAATACGTTTCACGGAGAAATTATATGTGTAAATACTTAACATCTTAGGTGAGGTATCTCTGATTTTTTTATGAAAACCGAACAAAATTAGTAGTATCTTATTACTTACAGATTTAACTCTACGGTTTATCTAACTTATGACTCTATGCCGTCATTACGATGCAATTGTGCTCAACAGTCAGAGTTTTGATATTAAGCTCACCTTAAGTCACGTTAAAAACAACCAACAAACTCCCACTTTCTATAAGTAGACCTGTTTTTATAAGAGGTAAAAACAGAATCTGCCACTGTTAAAAACAAGCCCACCTGTTAAAAATGCTAGGGTGTTATAGTTTGGGTTATTGTTATGAATTACCAACCTTTTTCAAGCAAGTTTCCGGGGTGGGGAGTCGAACAACTGCAATATTCTAAAAGTGTAGAACGTCCGCTATCCTCACAACAATATGTAGCAACAGCACATCTTGTCTTATTAATGTAGCTTTGTGCTTAACGTTACACAAACACATGAGTGATTATACAGCCTCAATTAGCGTCTGTATTAATTAGTTAAGACGGTTAAAATGTAGTTTTTACTTATACGTAAAAGAAAAGAGCTAAATTGTTTTGGGAAAAAGACCTCCCACTCTGCAGTGCTGGTTGCGCTCTTGGTTCAAACTACGTACGAAATTGTAGCATTAAATTCTGAAAGATTTCATTTCCAATACTTCCCCAGTGTTTTTCACGTAACTGTGTGAGTGCTCTTAGGATATAATAGATATGATATGAGACATTAATAAATTCGGCACGTTCAACTAAATTGTCCCCCAGTGGCACAGCGGTATGTCTGCGGACTTCCAACGCTAGAATCCGGGTTTCGATACCCGTGGTGAGCAGAGAACAGATAGTCCCTTGTGTAGTTTTGTGCTTAATTACAACTAACCTAACGGATTGCTATATAATGATACAGTTGAAATGTTCGAGGTTTCAGAAATACGTTTCTTTTATGTTGAATCTGGTTTACGTTAAATGTTCTAAAGACAAAATTAATTTATTAGCTGTAATGGATAATATTTTAAGAAAAAATACAACATATATAGATAGACTTTACGCATCAAACTAGCATACTTCATACTTTCTACCTGACACCTTTATCTTGTCGTTGTATACATTTATACTGTCTAAAGTGCAGGCTTTTTAAAGTGAGAAGGCAGCGTCATCTAGTGACCTTTTCCTAACAGGTGCGTGCACAAAGATTCAGACCAATGCTGAAGCCGGTTGACGACTCTCTACTTTCTCCGACCCCAGCCAGTGTAAGAACTTGTACACGCCGAATCACCATGACCTTCTTTTTGCTGGTAGCTCTTATTGTCAATAAGGTAGGCGAAGACTTTTGTAAGTTCCATCTTGGAGAGTGTATAGTTTCTGTGCTAATAATTAACAATTCTCTTGATTGCGCTAACTAAGAGATATGTATCAGCTGTTAATACCTAGTTTTTCAGATTGATTAAGACAGGAATGTTAGTGTTACATATAGGGATACTAGATTTACAGTTACATATAAGGATACTAGAGTTACACATAGGGATAGTAGTGTTACATATAAGGATATTAGTGTTACATATAAGGATACTAGAGTTACACATAGGGATAGTAGTGTTACATATAAGGATAGTAGTGTTACATATAAGGATATTAGTGTTACATATAAGGATATTAGAGTTACATATAGGGATACTAGATTTACATATAGGGATGCTAGATTTACATATAGGGATATTAGTGCTACACATAGGGATATTAGTGTTACATATACGCGATCTTTACCAAACTTCTTATGACTGAGAATGAGCAAATAGAGATAGACCCATATGGGGATTCAGACATTTAGTTCAAAGAATTGCACGTGAAAATAATATCCAGTCAATTTTCTTAAATCGCCATCATTAGCGAAATATGAAACTTAGGCGCGCAACATGCTGTCCATAAGAACTTTAGTGAAACTATCGCACGAAAAATGTACCAAAGTACTCATTTTTTAGCTTATTTTTCTCGTCCGAACATCGTGACAGAAGCTGTTATTGCGTCGCTATGATATAAACTCTGCATTTATAATGGAATCACAGATTTTTAAAGATATTAAAATGTTTCATTCACTTAACGGTTTATTATAGCGGCTGTTGGTAAAAGAGTAGCTCAAGAGTTGGCGGTGGGTGGGGATGACTAGCTGCCTTCCCTCTAGTCTTACACTGCTAAATTAGGGACGGCTAGCGCAGATAGCCCTCGTGTAGCTTTGCGCGAAATCAATAGAAAGAAAGAAATTATAGCGGCTGTATTAGGAAATCACGAATTAATATAAATACTTTCAAAACATTATAAAATAATAAAGCTGACATAGCACGTGGTATGAATTATCTATTTTACAGTGGTGCAACTGGGTTTTTAATGATGTTGAAATTTATAGTGATGTTCGTTAAACACATTAAAAGTAATATAATGTAAGTTAAAAATGTTATCATACCTGGATATATGTTTATTTAGCAGTACAGTGTGACTATACAGCCTATTATGTAGCGTTGTGCTTAACGTTACACAAACACACGAGTGATTATACAGCCTCAATTAGCGTCAGTATTTCTAAATTCGTTTTTAAAATGTAAAACAATTAAAATGAAGTAAATATGTCAAGATATAAAAATTAAGTTTTAACAGATGTATGACAAGATGCCAAAAATTAGATTTAGACACGTTTTGTCGACTACGTCCTCTTTCTTCAGTCTTTCAACCTAAATAACAACATTTTCAATACGATGAGACCTTTGGATATATTTAAAATTCTTTGTGTATAATAATACCGATTAAATTTGTATAATGTATTTTTTATAAAGATATAGATATAAACACCGTTTCCTGTCAAAAGTAACATAAATATGAATTTTTTTATTACCTTTCATATACAGTAAGTAAGTAAAAAGTCAAGACGAACGTTACTTGAAACTAATGTTATCTATCGACTTCTTCTAGATTAAGAGCTAGAAGTGATGAATGTGGCTACTTTATCAGATATATTAAGTAGTATCTCAAACGTCCACGTTTGTTGTCTGTTAAACTGCGTAGATTATCAGCTAACTTAGCAGAACGGCAGCCTTATTAATTCGATAGTCTTACCAAACAACTAGCTTAGCAGAACGACAGCTTATTAAGTTGATAGTCTTACCAAATAACTTGCTTAGCAGAACTGCAGCCTGTTAACTTGATGGTCTTACCAAACTAGTTTAGCAGGACGGCAGCCTGTTAACTTGATGGTCTTACCAAACTAGTTTAGCAGGACGACAGCCTATTAACTTGATAGTTTTACCAAACAACTTGCTTAGCAGAACGGCAGCCTGTTAACTTAATGGTCTTACTAAACAACTAGTTTAGCAGGACGGCAGACTGTTAACTTGATAGTCTTACCAAACAACTAGTTTAATAGAATGGCAGCCTGTTGACTTGGTAGTCTTACCAAACAACTAGCTTAGAAGATAGGAAGCATGAACGAAAAAAAAAAACGCATAAGGAGAGGAATGGGTTTTATTTACCATATAGAATAAATTTATTTGAATTGAATTGAATATTTCCCCTTTGACACTTCTTATAGAAAAGACAACTTAAACAAACAAAAACATTCGCTCCGGTAGTGGTTTTTTATTGCGCTCGTTAACATGATAAGGAACGGTGACATCCAGCGGGAAAAAAAAATCCTTGTGGCTACTTAGTGAACCTGAGCGCTCTATTGTGCTGGACGTGCAATGCAATTTTTGTTATTGAAATAACACATGGAATGAACAAAGATGATTGTAAACGGCCCACTAGACAATCATATTGCATATACACTCTGATTCAAGGTGATTGAGTTGACTGCACATTTTATATTTATTCATCACTATTTTTTAGGAAAAGTACGGTTGAACTGTTTGAACGGACGTCTGCTAGTTATTAATACTCATACTCATGGGATAATGTCGTTACTTATGTGAAGTTAATTTGGTAGATTTTATATCATCTGGGACACGTAAGTAAGATTGGATCATGGCTATTCTAGATTTCGTAAAACACCCCGGAAAGTTTTCTGAAAATAATAGTAAAGAATGTGTTGATTGTTTTCCTTTGTAATTTAAACATGTTCATTCTATATTTACGAAATCAGCCTGGCGTTTAAATCACAAATTAAAATAGTATTACTACCAAATTTCAAATTCACTATGGAATCTTGGTGATTATATTTCAATCAAGTTTAGCAGAAGAGCATATAAATATTCTCTACGTGGAATAGCTAACTCTACCCGATGTGTATCATCATTGTATATCCGATGCAGATATATTGTATATCCATTCTTAGAACCACTGTATATCCAGTATTATTATCTTCTATCTGGTATAATCACCTGTGTCTCGTATAAACCCTTTCTATCTGATAAAACGACTACACATCTGCTGTAACCACTGTCTATCCAGTATTGTTATCTTCTATCTGGTATAATCACCTGTGTCTCGTATAAACACTTTCTATCTGATAAAACGACTACACATCTGCTGTAACCACTTTATATCTAGTGAAAAACTACCCTACTTCTAATATATAACTACTCTGTATCATAACAGTATATACATATATGTAATGACAGATACTCTTTCGATGGTGTGTGATCTTACAATATACAAATAACTAAATACTATACAAGGGTAGAAAAAAGTATTTAAAATACGCGTTTATTAATCCTTTCTTTACGCGATGGAAACCTCTTAATTGTTCAGTTTCGTCAGTTGATGAGAAAGAGACTCATTCGAGATGATAACCTCATTATGAACGGATCAGCCTGGATTAAACTTAGAATTAGTCACAAGCAGAGCGAGAGCCAGTTGGTTATTAAACATATCGGTGCCAAGCGAGTATTTCTGTGTCGCGAGACTCTTCCGTTAGTCGGATTTATCTTCGTAGATTGTGATGCAGCTGCGGAGAGAAAAGTTCTCTAGTGATTGTTTAAATTTTTATGTGTTCTATTTTTCCGTTGCAGTAATCCTACTTGTACGTTATCGTCTTCTCCATGGACAAAGATGATATCACGTTTTAAGTAGTTAATCTGCTAAATTGCTGAAACAACTGAACCCAAAATTTCCGTCTTTTGAAAGTTATAATTGTGTCCGGCATTCGGACATTAAAGAAATGACAAACAACAACAACAACAACTGGCTGAGCTTTCGCAATGTGAAACTACAGCTTTCAAAGGCAACAATTTTGAAAAATTACTTGCAGGCAACTAACTCTTCGTTTATCTCTTAAGTGATAACAAAAGTTTACGCCTATTTCATCCTATTTGGTAACTAGTTTACTGGATTAAGTAGGAAGATTTTTACTTTTAATCAAACAAGATACAATAATTGTTTTCATCTAGCAAAAGTCTAAAGATATTAATTTTTAAAAACTTATTCCTCGGCCATATTATATCATGCACTACTACTAAGTTTGTTCGATATTACATATTTTAACTTTACGAATTCCTTCAAATTCTAAAGAATAAGTTCTAAATATAATTATAACTATATGGCTTCAAATATTGTTTAAGACAGTCATAAACTATTGTACTACAATGTGACCACTCGTCGCTTATTTTTCTAACCTATTTATTACCCAAACCCTTCTCTTTTCGTGGTTACTTTCTAGGTTCATCTCCTGATGAAATTTTCCCGAAAGGGGACCGAAGTATATCAGGTTTTATAAAACAGCAGCAAAAACAAACTAACAAAAACAACAACTTATCTATATCCTTATTTTTACTTTATTAGTTGGTCTTCTAGCATTCGATACATAACTGCAAAGTCTTGCATCCTGGTATTAAAACCTAAAAGTTACACACTGATATAGTTGGTAAAGAAGTGCGTACTAGATCATCATTTAAACACATCTGTGTTGTTTTTGTTTATGTGTAATTGATCACCCTTCACCAAGGACTGATTTAGCAGTTGTAGTGAGATGTGCCATCTAATGGATAAGTTATAATGTTTTATCACTTTTTCTATCAGAAAATATATAAACGGATTATTAATACTGGTCACTCCATCTGACAGGCTACTATCTATACACTTAGATGTCATATTTCAATATCCTAACGTGTGTGATAAACTCGACTGATTTAGAAACGAGCACTGCAGTTGCCACACACGTGTAAGATCAGTTTTCCCACTGTTATGAAGTTTGAGTGATGGACTTATAGGATTCATATTTTAATCAACTTTATTTTTTCTTTTGATCCTAAGTATATTATTGCTAACACGATTGTTTCCTCTAGATCAATGTTTTTCGTGGATATTCATTTCTACACAATTTTTAACTCTCACG